GCTTCCTCAGCGCCTGGGCCTGCGCCAGCTCCTCCTGCCAGCGCCGGCGGAACTCATCCAGGTTGTGGTTGTCCATAGCCACTTCTCCTGGCCGGAGCGTCCTCCTCGGCCCTGCCGGATGCCACGGAACGGTCCCTCCACGGGAAGTGTCCGCCTCGGCCGGAAACCGGAGCGGGAGCTGCACTCGGGTTCCGGGTGGGCGGCCCCGCCCCCGGCGCGCCCCTCACGGTGTCCAGCGCGTACGCGGCTTGTGGAGCACCAGGCTGAGGTCGGTGACCTGACCTCGGGCCCAGCTTGTTTTCTTTCCTGCCTGTGGCTTTTGCCTAGCGCAGATTTGGCGCCAAGCACTGTTTCTTCATTCAACAAACATGCATTGAGCAACAATCATACGCCAGAAAATAAAACTAGGTAAGACAATAAAACAAGGCAAGGGGTGGGGGTGGGAGGGATAACTTTAGAAAGATGGTCAGAGAACGACCATCTGAGGTATCAATGTGAACTACTAGCGAGATGAGAGGAACCAACCATGGGATGATCTGATCTCTCGGAAGAGAGATTTCCAGAAGGAACTACAAGTGCAAGGGCTGTGAGATTGGAAAGTGACATACAATTACACTCCATCTTCAAAATGCTCTGTACCTGCCGTTCCTTCCTCAGGGAATTTTTCTCCCCACCCTGACCCAGTTAATTCCTACATATCTTTCATATCTCAGCTCACACATCATTTAATCTCCCAACCTCTGCCTCCTCCCTCCCCGCAAAATGTCAGGTCTCCATGTTATTCATTCTTACAGCGGTCCATACTTCTTACAGCACAGAACAAAATTTGTAATTTCATATCTGCGTGACTGTTTATTACTATCTCCCTTCCCTAATGGACTGTCAGTTTTTAGCTTGGAGGCCAGCTATTAGTAGGTGCTCAATAAATATTTACTCAATAAATAACAACCCGTTAAGATGAGAACTATTGTGCACACTTTACGGATGAAGAAACTAAGCCCAAATTCCTGTAGCTAGTAATTTGCAGACCCAGATGCTTGTTACCATAATTTTTTTTTCAACTCACTGATACTACCAGCATGGTTATTAACCTGGGCTCCAGAGTCAGACAGAGCTAATCCCAACACCCTCTTTACTCACATCCCCTTTCTTCCAATAATTCCACTTCTAAGAATTTATCCTAAGAGTTCAAAGAATACCTTCAAGGATGTTCACAGAATTACTGTTTATAGTACTGAAAATCAGAAGCAGTCTAAACAGGACATTGGTTAAAAAAAGTTGTGCCCTATTAGAATGTAAGAAAGATCTTAACTGGAATGTCAGCTGCATAAGAGCAGAGACCTTATCTATTTGTTCATGGTTATGTCTTCAGCACTCAGAACAGTGCTTGGGACATAATAGCTGCTCTATAAATAATGAATGAATAAATGAAAAACTGCGGCTATTAAATATTACATTGGAAAAGAACATTTAATCACATGAAAAGATTTTCATAACATAGCAAGTGAAAAAGTGAGGATACATAACCATATATACAGGATGATCTCAGTAGTGTCTTTAAAAAAAAAAGGACATGAAAAGAATATACACAGAACAGGTCTCTAGAGACCCGAGTGATTTAGTGTTCTTTATCTGTATAGTCTAACTTTCTACAGTGGATGCTGTTCTTGCCTGGATTCCTGCAGAAAACAGAGCCTGAGACCTGAGCTTGCAGGTAGCTAGTTATTTGCAGAAGTGATTCCAGAGAATAAGCATAAAGGACCGAGAAGAATAAAACAGGAAGGAAAAACAACTAATCCAAAGAGCACTGAGTTGGTCTTGCTGTGGGAAACTGACATTCCTTCCCCCTGGGACCTTCTAAGGAGCCTTGAAGAACACACCTCAGAATTGTCCTCCCAAGAGATAAGAGCTGGAAGAAAAGAGCATTTATCGTCTGGCTCATCCTCCATTAGAGAAAGGTTAAGCCGTGAGTTTTTCATAATCCATTTCCAGGTTGAGCATAAGTAAATGGATTCCCAGGGATATCCCACACCAAGGAAGCAGAGATGCCCTGGGGCAAAACAAAAAGCAAGAGGTACTCTGTGCAGCCAGCAGGAGGGACTATCAGGTCACCCGTGCACAAGGCCAGTTGCTGCCGCAATGACTAAAGTAAAAGATGAATCAAGAGGATGTGATGTTGGGCATAAGAAGTGTCTAATACAAGTATGTATTCTTTTTTGTAATTAAAAGACAACGTGCTACTTTTCTCCAAACTTTCATCTAACATCCTGCTCATTCTCAGTGCTTTCAATATGAATTCCAGGGGTCAAACTTGTTTTAATTATCTACTCGTGGGTCAAAATCCAAATATGGCTCTTCTGATATCTCCAGAATTTATGGACTATCTAATATTTATAACGAAAAGCAAGCTGGAAAAACTGTAAACACCTGATTATGATAGTCAAAAATCAATGTTTTCTCTTGCCTGTTTAAAAGACTTTTACAGGGACAGTGTAGGAAGACTAATGAGGACGTAAGTCACCCAGGGAAAATGAAAAAGAGACATACGCTAAGAAGGAAAATACTGTCTTTTTGTCAGTATTGCCTACCACTCACTCCAAATATTTATGTTGATTTTATATCTCTCCAATAGAAAATTCCTGGGCCTGCATTTCCTCAAATGAAAGACAAAAATATCTTCCCTTCATAGTGACTACAAGTATGATCAAATGCCTGTAAATCTCCTAGCATCCATAAGGCACATAGTAGGCATTCAGTAAATGCTGTCTATGATCCGTATTAACATGCTCTTGACACATGGAGTCTAATCTATGGTCTGGTGTTCCAAGAGCCCCAACGTTTTCCATAGCGAGTGTTCCTTTCTAGTTCAATCTATTGAAGTTCTTTGGTTTCAGGTCTTGCTACCTTAAGCAAAAAGGAATTGAATTTGGAGGATGGCTCACAAAGTTAAAAGAGGACTAACCAGAACCTCAGAGTGCCCAGAATCAGAACAGATCCAGAGATTTCATTATAAGAAGGCATGAACCACCTGCTTTCCATCTTTTGAGAGTCAAATTCCCAGAAGTTCTCGGAGTGTGGCCCCTGGACTAGCCTCACCTGTGAACTTGCTAGGAACGAAAATCCTCAGCCTAGACTACTGAGTAGGAAACTCTGGGGGATGCAACCCCAGAGATCTGTGTTTTAACAATCCCTCCAGGTGATTTTGATGCACAGTTCAGTTTGAGAACCACTATCCTCGAGGATCATCTGAATGGCCTGGTTTGGTCACATTCCTAGCCTTTGATGGAGGAGTGGGGGTTACAATCAGCTGGATTTCTGGCACCACATGAAGTGGGGACAGAGTTCCCCAAAACAGAAAAAGGAGGAAGAGGTACTGGGCTGAACTGAAAGACCTACAGGGATATCACAGGAAGGGGAACCCTGGGAATTCTCTGTCCATCACCCTCCAAACCCCAGGCTCAGATCTGCCTGAGCCCCAGAAAGATGGCTGAAGTGCCTTTATTTGTCCCCCAAGTACCTCCTCTCTCATTGTTCTCCTTAGACCAGTCACGCGCTGAACTACCGAGGAGCAAGAAGCTTTTTACTGCAGGGTCAGGTAAATCTCAAAAAAGTAGTGAGGGCGGGGGACAGGAGCAGAGACTATTCATTCGTTTGTTCTCATGTCCAAGGTAAGAGAGTTTGTCAGTTTCCCATTGCTGCTGTAACAAATTAAGTGGCTTAAAACAACACACAGTTATTCTCTTACAGCTCTAGAAGCCAGAAGTCCAAAATCCATTTCACAGAGCTGAGATTGAGGAGTGAGCGGGGCCACGCTTCCTCCAGAGGCTCTAGAGGTAAATCTGTTTCCTGGCCTTTTTCAGCTCCTGGCACTGCCTTCCTCGGTTTGTAGCTCCTTCCTCCATCTTCACAGCCAGCAATGTAGCCTCTCTCTTCATTTGTCACATTATCTTCTGTCTCTGTTCCAATCTCCCTTTGCCACTCTCTTATAAGGACGTTTGTGATTGCATTGGGTCCACCTGGAAAGTGCATAATACTCTCCCCATCTCAAGAGACTTAATTTAGTCACATCTGCAAAAGCCTTTTTTTAATCATCTAAGGTAACATTCACAGGGTTCCACAGATTAATATCTTTGGGGGCCATCACTCAGCCTGCCACAGAGGGCCTTCTGTGACCACAGACTCAAATGGCCTACAGGTGACTCCAGGAAACAACACTGAGGCAAGTAGACCAGGTGTGGATTGTGGAAACTGGAGGCCCACCCAGAGTGGAAAACCAATACTCTGCTCCACCCAACCGATGGATCTTAGTCCAGATTTTCTAAAAATCAGTGTCTTGATTTTTTAAATTTGTTTATTTAAATTAGTTTCAAGTATATAGCACATTGGTTAGACATCTATATATTTCATAAAATGATCCCCCCAATTGCTCCCTCCCTCCCCCGGACCTCCACCTAGCCATCATATTAATACTAACTGCATTCCTTCTGCCGTGCTCCCCGTCCCCATGACCAACTATCAACTACTAATTTGTACTTCTTTAACCCTTCGCCCCATTCTCCCAGCCCCCCAACCACCCTTCCCTCTGTCCGTCACCAAATTGTCCTGTTTGTGAGTCTGTTTTTGATTCGTTTGTTCTTTTTGTTCCTTAGATTCCGCATGTAGGTGAAATCATATGGTATTTACATTTCTCTGTTTGACTTATTTCTGTTAGCATAACATTTCAAGGTCTTTCCACGTTACAACAAATAGTGTGATTTGATTCTTTATGGGGTATGTCCCTTTGTATATATGTAACACATCTTCCCGGGGTGATCAGTTTGTACGTTATATAAATGTCTAATCGTTGTGTTGTACACCCGAGTCTAATATGATGTCGTATGTGAACTATCATTGAAAAAAATGAGCATATAAAAAGTTTCAAAAGTTACAAAGTACAAAATGGCAGTTACATAATTGTCATGGGGATGTACAGTTCACCATAATACCTCCAATTGATGCAACCACAGTGGAAAGCAATACAGAGGATCCTCAGACTTTTGAAAATAGAACTACCATATAGAACCCAGCAATCCCCCCGCTGGGATCTTTTTCCAAAGAGATCCAAAACACTAACTCAAAAAGATATCTGTCTCCTTATATTCATTGCAGCATTCTTTGCAATAGCCAAGATGTGGAAGTCCTCAATTACTTGCTCTTGCCTACCTCATGCTTTTGTTCCCACTGCCCTATGTAGCATGTCCCTCACACCCTCACTCTTCACTTAGGAAACCTTTGAAGAGGCAACCCTATCTTTGTAGCATTTCCTGAGCCTTCCAGGTACAACTGACTGTTGTCCCTTTGTGCCCTTCCTGTACATTATTCACCTCGGCTGTAGACGTAGCAAATGATACTCTTCTGTTCTTACTGTTTTCATGCATCTCTGCCCCTACTACAATAGAGGATGAAATCTTTTCTTTGTATTTGCCACTTTTCCCAGGTTGGTGCCTATGATTTGATAGATACAGTAAAGGTCTGTTGTCTTCCTGACTGATTGACTGACTGAGTGAACAAGTCAAAGAATGTGATATTTTCTGAAACTGGGTTTTTGTTTTCCTTTGTTCTCATAGGAAGAAGCAATAAAGCCAGGCATTGGAAGCAAAGAAAATGGTATGAATATTAATGAATGTGCTCCACGAGAGCAAACAAATAAGAACAGGATGAATTATGTTGATGCAACACATAAAAATAATCCAAGTGGTCATTTAGTGGCGATCTATATTTTTTCTCTGCTTATAAGCTGATATAAACAAATCTAAATTGTGTAGATGCAAATATGAGATCCATTTCCTTTAAGTCTATTTTTCTGCTCTGTTTCTTCAAAAGTATTCCAACTACAAACGACTTCTTTTTTCCTCACCAAAGTTTCAAAACCGTGCATTGTATCTGTTCTCACTTCTATGTTATCAAAATGTTTATCATTGGACCTAGACTTGTATATATATTTTAAATGTATAGTAATAAATATTTTCATTAATGTCTCTGTAACTACATTTTACAGTTAAAATGTCAGTCTTAGGAATAGAAGAGGAAGAAGTAGAATCACCTTGGGATTCTGAGGTACTGTCTTTCGTTATTAGTTTTTTATTTTAGTATCAGCATTAAGTGATGTTAAAACTTAAAAGGTCTGATTTGACTTTATTTTCTACCTCAGCATCTACACAGAAAAATATTTGGTTTTCTATTTTAAACGATAATTGATACAGTAGTTTATCAATACAATAACACTGTATAGGACCATTCTCCTAATTTGCAAGATTCCCTTACTGATGTTAGTGTAATACAGTAGAAGAAACTCAGATTAAAAGTCATAAAACATCAGTTTGAGTTCTGAAGTTCAGTTTATCTAAAAACTGAAGAATTCTTCCCGGTCAATCCGTGGCCTAATGTTGGAGTGTATTTCTTTAATACCTTGGAACATGAAAGGATAATGCATGAGATTTTGAGGTTTCATTGTATTGGGATTGTTAAGTAGATTCTGCAAGGAAAAACTGTCTTAGAGAGTTAAAATATGATTTATTGAGTACCTTTATGACAGCCATTCTTATAGTAATGTAAGGAAGTATAAGGTAATGTCTTAGATTATAGTCATCTGCCACCTCATGGTACAAATACTGAATTTGAAGTCCAAGAACATATTAGCATCCTGGATTGGTCACTTACTAGCTATGGGACCTTGGGAAAACTTGCTTATAACCTGTCAGTATATCAGTGACCTCATTCATATTAAGAGTATTGATCCCTACATCTCAGGTTCGTGCAAAGGATAAATGTGGTAAGAAATGTGAAAACACTTTGTAAAGGGTGCTATGAAAATGTAAGGCACAATGATCACAGTGGTATTTGATGACTTACTAAATATCGAGAACTCTTTTTGTAAACATGAGATGCAATGAATTGATAGTAGTGTCAAGAAAAGAATGGGAAAGTTAAACAAGGATGTTGATTTTGAGTATGGGGGATGACAATTTTCAGGAGACGGTTACTGGCGATACCCTGTAGACATGTATTGCTTTAGTATTTGAGGCCTTCTTGATGAGATCTTAAACGTTTTGATCTGGAGTAAATTTCTGATATCGAATACCGACTATGTGCTGGGCAGTTAGACACCGAATCTAGAAGTTGAGAGCTTAGGCTGTAGTTGTAGGGGCAGAAATCGAGTAAACAACAATCCTTTGTAAGTCACTATAGATGTCCACATAAAGAAAAGAAAAAATGTTAGGTTAGAGAACATTGGGGCAGTATCGTTGGAATGGGCATGAGTGTATAATTTATTGTGTCAGTAAAGATCTTTCTGAGTATGCCTTGGAATGACCAGGAAGCAGGAAGTGGGCTAACCACGATCATAACATGTGTATTATTGTTGTAGTGTGTAGATAAGAAATAAAAGGTGCCTAACTATGTAAACATTTTTGCTATTATTTAAACAGAATTTCAAGAAAAGTGTTTCTTACCACCTTGCCATTTTATTCAATGACTGTCCTCTCAAAAACTTACCAAATAATAGTTAGCTTTTTCCACGTCCATCTTTACCTAAGTGAAATAGGTCCCATAATGACCTGTTTATACGTAACATGACATACTCCACGTTTCTATCATGTCAGGTATCTAATTTTAACTCTAAAAAATCTTCTTAGAACTATTGTTAAATAGTTCCAAGTAGCTTAATTAAGTAATTTATTGAAATGCATATATTTCAAAATGTTCTTGAACTTGTGGGGAATGCAAAGTAGAGTAGGTGTTTCGAAGTTAGTTCCCTGTTGATGTGCACATATAAATCAATATTATGTCTATGAAAGTATTTACTCCAGCCCTCCGTGCTTAATATTTAGAGCAGCTCAATGAAGACAAAAGATCAGGTTGATCCAGAGAGCATAAGATGAAGTTTTCTATTGAATATTTTGATTTTCATCACACGCTTCTTTTGTTGTTAGGTCTGCTTGCTTTTAATGTAGGAAATTCAGATATTTTCTGAGAAAGGGATTAGGAAATCTTTCTATATCTCACTATTGATATGAATTTTAACAGGATTCCTCTACAAGGCTTCCAATAAATTATGTCGATGACTTACCTGGAGCTACAGATCAACGAGGAAAAAACATACAAAATGAGCAAGTAGCAGGTAAGAACTGTATTGTGTAAAAAAGGCATTTGACAGAATGTTGATTTAAAATAGGAATCTTCAGATAGTCTGATAGCCAAAGAAAATCACCTATTACATGCATAGTAAGGAAAAGAGAAGCGAAAAGGAGATCTGTTGTATAACTTCTCAGGTATCGGCCCCAGATTAAAGTGAGAGTGTCACTTCAGGACCTACATTATTTGTTCCACTTCGAGATACTCTAAGACCTAAGAAAACTCAGAAAAAAAACAAAAAAAGAATAAACGAAGGAATGAAGAATGAGAAAGGCAAAAATTATCGGGAGGAAATTGAGGGGGAAAAAAACAGATATGTAGTGGTAAGAGGTAAACTAATTCTTTAGAAAAATGTCAGAGGACAATATTGGAAATGTGGAAAAAACATGAAATAGCTTCCAGCACCAAAAATTGTCAGAGAAGGACAGCAAAATGTTTCCACTTGTACTCTTTTCCTCGTTGTTGAGAAGGCATTACAGACTGAGCTGTCTGATAATGTAGAGCTCTACTTTTGATATCCATGTTTAAAAAAAAAAAAAGTTATATACAGGAATAAGAAACAGAAATTTTAAAAAGGTCACCTTTCACTCTGGCATTTTTTGATACCCTAAATTTCTCACTTTTCAATCCCTGTACTGATTAGGGATTCTTAGAGGTAATT